AATCCAGTTTTAAAATAATATTAATAACGTAAATAATCATAGTGATAGTAATATTAATAAGAATGCGGTAGTGGTGTAGTACTCGCCTCATATGCTAGAAGTTACAATTTTGATCCCCACCAGGTCCCTGGTAGTACCACATTTAACTTGTTTGTCCACGCAGCAGCCTTGTTCGTCAAAGTTTGTATTTTGGAGTTATAGAGTTGAGAGAGGGTTGTAACCACAATAAAAAGTAGGGTCTTTGATTGTAGTGGCCTTCATGGCCTTAGGGAAGTGAATTGAAATTTTAAAAAAAAGCAATTATATTAACAATTTTTTTTTTTTTAAACTCTATCTTTCTAATAAAAATGGAATAGTTTTAAAAATTAAAAAAAGAAAGGTTGTTTTAAACCTTGTTTTAATGCTTTGGTATATTATAAATTTATGTCTATAAATATTATAGGTTTTATTATTGCGGTTTTTAGAGAGAGTGAGGTTTAAAATACTATTGGATCAAAGACGATAAGTGTTTGCGCTTTTGGCAAAGAAGTTGATGAATATTTAAGCGTTTATGCAGGTGATTCCTGACAAATTGTCAGTTTATAAATTTAATATAGTAAAATTGTTTTAATATTTTAGAAGTTAGGTAGGGCACATCAAAGTTGAAATGATTCTGGAAATAAATTATCTTTGAAGCCTTGTTTTGGAAAAGGCATAATCTAATAAACGTTTGTTGATGGTATTGTCCGCATACTTGACATATATATCTTAGAGACAAAAATAGCACAGTATATGTTCAAAAGTGTACCAAGATTAATATAATGAAAGTGAAATGAAAATATCGAATTTGATACCAAGATATTTATTTAAATAATAGGGTTGATTTTCCGCCTACTTTATTTAAAGTTCATGTGTTAATAGATTTTTCTTTGATTAGATAAAAAATAATGAGTTCAGTTTATTGAAATTAAAAGAAAATTTGTTGGAACAAAGCCATTGAACTAAATTTATCTTTCCCCTTATTATTTTACACAATGCAATATGGTGTTTGTATGTACAGAAAAATCAAAAAACTCCAATTTTTATAGCTTTTTTCTTTTTTTTCTTTTTTTCTTTTTTTTTTATAATCCATTTATTCAACCAAAAATTGAAAAATTTCAAGTTTATAATTTTACAAAATTAGGTTAGGTGTCACTCATATAGTTAAAAACTAGTCAATGGAGTGACACCTAAATAAAATAAACAAACAAAAAAAATAAACAACAAATTTAACTAATTTAAAAACAATAATAACGATAAAGCTATAATAAATTAAATGATAAGACAAAAAATATGAAAGCACCCAATAACAACAGCAAACAAAAATAAATAAAAACAAACTTTACGCACACGAAAAAGCAAAACAAAAAAACACGAAAAACCAAAACTACAAATATAAAAATGCAAACACAAAAACTTCTACAAAATTAAATTAAATTAAAAGTAATAACAATGTTTAGTTATTACCGGCAAAAAAAGAAAAATGTAGAAAAATTAGTAAAACAGAAAAATAGCAAACAAAAATAAAAATGATTAGCAACAACAGCACAAATAATAACAAAAGGCAAAATGCAAAAACTACAAAACGAAAATGCAAACACAAAAACCTAAAAAAAAAAAAAAAAAAAAAGGTGTAGAAAAGTTGGTAGCAACTTTGTACAAATGGATGTTCGAATTTTCTTTTATTTGTTTTTTAAGTGTTAATTTTGAGTATTTACTTTTTAAGTTTCTTTGTTTACAAAGACTTGCTTTTTTTTTTTAACTCAAAATGTCAAGGTATTAAAGCTTTTACATAATCTAGCGGAATTGTTGCTATCTTTTCTTTGAAGTCTTACATAGTACAAAGTTTAGTTGAACTAAAAAATTTCAAAGGTACAGTTGACTCTAGATATCTTAAACTTTTTCCTGGTTTTCTGAGAGTTGGCAATTATTCCTAAGAATTGGAAAGATCATGCTTAATGTATTTGTAAATTTTTTTAGGAATCTGTTAATTAGCTATTAGATTAGTACCATCAGCAAAAGATAAACAGTAGCAAATTTGATAGATGAACTAAGGTCATTAATATAAAAAAGGAAAATCAGTGGTCCTAATACTGAACCTTGAGAGACACCATTAGAACATTTTACAAGCATTATTGACTAATTCTTTTATATTGTAAACATGTAATGAACCTAAAGTTATATCATCTGAAATTATGATTAAAAAAATTAATCAAAAATATTATATTTAATAGTAATTAAAAATGTTTAAACATTTTTAATTACTATTAAATATAATATTTTTAAATAAACATTAACTTTAAAAAAAAGTTATTGGATATTATTTTAATCTTAAAAAGTTTAAACTTACCATACAATACTGCATTTGAAGCTGGACTTATACTTTCTATATAGCTAGTAGTAGGAGAACATAAGTTTAATGGGATAGCACCCAACAATTGATTAGATCTAATAGGTATGCCTTGTGGTGTATTTCCAGTACCTAGTTATAACCAATAACATTATTTTTAGTGGTCAAGAAAAAAAAACAATTAAAAAAAAAGAAAATTAAAACTCAGTTTTAATCTTCTATTTCCATTTCAAAAATATAAACAAGTATAAAAAAAAAGCAATAACTTTAATTGAGATACTGAAGGAAGAATCTACAAACTGAAGGAAGAAACCTGACATCACATATGTTCTTTACAATTTTAGTTTTTGTTTTAAAATATTTTAAAAGTTTAGTGGTTGCTGGCAGCCTTGTTGGAAGTGAAGATGTTGAGGAAATTAAAAAAAAAGTGTTAAGTGAAATAACATCAAAGCAGTTTTTAACTATAAATAAAAAAAAAAAGCATTATCATTCCTAAATTTTAGAGCATTAAACTAGCAAAATATTTATTAACATGGTTGTTTATAAAGAATTATTTTCATTCTTTGTTAAAAATGAATATTATAATATACAATATAGGAAATTTACCAAAAGAAGAATGTTTACACTTTGACAAATCTTTTGCAAACCATATATAAAATGACAATGTATAAAAAAAAAGATATCACTTCATAAGCAAGAAGTTCAGAGTTCTATTCCCACCACGTCCCTGGTAGTATCATGCTTAACCTTTTCCTCCATGCAGCAACTTTGTTTTTCAAAGTTTGTGTTTAAGTTGAAGTGTTAAAAGAGGGTAACCACAATAAGGTAGCCTCCTCCTGCAGTGGCCTTCTCCCTCTTGGGGATGTAAACAACATGGAAAATAAAATTATAACTAGCACCTTAACTTTTCTATATTCTTTAATGACACACTTCACTACATCATTAAAGATTAAAGGAATGTTATATGCATCCAAAGTGATGTGCAGTAAATAAAAAATAAGTTGTTTTCTGATTTCAATTCTTTTTTTTTTGTTATATTAGCATCCATATTAAATACTGATAATTAATTAGCTAAAATTCACTTTAGTAATACAGTTTTTCATCTAAAGTTGCTTTTAAATAAAACTGTATTTTAAAGTGTTCATCTAAAGTTGCTTTAAAAATAAAACTGTGTTTTAAAGTGTTCATCTAAAGTTGCTTTTAAATAAAACTGTATTTTTCTGTATTGCTTAACTAGAAGTAGTATACACACAGATTAGATGATGAAATTAGAAACCAGTTCCCAAACTTTATAATTTTTACAGACAATATATTTGATAAAACTTGTGTGTTTTTTTTGTGGATCCATGGAAAAGTTTCAAAGAGCATATGACTTCATAAATATCATCTAAATAACTATTAAATTTACTTTTAATGAATCTTATTTTTCAGTTACATTTTAAAATTTTTCACTATATAAGGACAAGAACAGGCTTATAGAAAGCATTTTATGAAGAAAGCAAACAGATAAAATAAGCCTTCTATGGCATGACTCTAATCACCATACAGAATTATAATTTGTTTTACCTTCCATCATCAATACTAGATTTGAAAGATCTACTCTAGTGGGAATGTGTTGTCCGACAGACGTTGGTCAGACGCCTTAAACTGTTTTTTAGATAATCCAAAAATGCTAAATCTTCCTATTTACACTCTTTGTTTTTGACATATTTTGAGTTTTATAAGATCTTTAATATTGGGTTTTCCAATGTCTAAAAGAGTCTCCATGATTTAATTGAAATTCTTAAACTAACTTTTCTTTAGTATCCTTTTTACAAACAACCAACTTTCCTTTGGTCATTGGTACCCATTTTTTTGTGAATTTTCACAAATTATGATATTATTTTATCCTCTCCAATAATATAGATTTTAAACCCATAGGACTCCAAGATATTCACTATTTTTCTAAGAAGACACAATTCTCCATTTTTCTAATAACATGTTGTTTTTCCTTTGCATTTCATGTTAAAATTTGATTCAATAAGACAAGATAATTATGAATACTTTTGAATTGTTTTAATCTACTGCTAATTAAATATTGATGTCTTAGAAGTAACCCATTAGTTGGAAGCTGATTCTGAGGTAAAAATGAAATAGAAGATTTAAGAAGATTAAGGGGCCTCCTACAACTGACTTTCAGATGTCTAACATGTTTCACCTTCTTTGCAATACTTATTTGCAACTTTGTGTCTATATGTTAGCAACTACATAAATAATGCTTAATGTTTATTTTTTAGTTATTTAATTTAAAAATAAATCATTAAATTCAATTGATGCCATTACTAAATAATAAACCTTACTTGAAACTATGTTTACCACTCCTTTTTTCTATATATGCAATTAATTTTGTTAATAGTTTAAAAATATTCAAAACTGCTTTAAAACTTTTTGCAATGCAGTGTTATTAAACTATGTAACTATGATACTATATAACTATTAATTAAATGAAAAATTTAACTAAAGCATGAGACTGTTAAATTAGGAACGATGAAAAAAAAAAAAATAATAATAATAATAATAGTAATAAATAAACTAATGCAAAATCTTCAATATTTATTTTAAGCTAAGGAACTTAAAGATTATAAAAATGCTTTTTATTTTAATATTTATCATTACTTCAAATGAATAAGAAAACATTTAGGCTAATAGATAACATCATCTTCTGCACAGTGTCTTACTAATATCCTCTGTCTAATCAAATATTCAGCTGCACTTATTGGTTTGCCACTCTTATGCAAATATCCTTTGCCGATTTCCCATAGTTTCTCAACGGAAGGAACTGCAGGCAGTTTGGTGGATTCAAGCTTTTTGGTATAAATTTAATGTCTCTCTTATTGTACCACTCTACAATCTTTTTAGAATAATGACAAGTAGCAAGATCAGGCCAGAACCAACAGAGGACATCATGACTTCAATAAAATGGAAAAAGCTTAACTTGCAAGCATTCTTTGATGTAAACATGTAACCCAGTACAACCTGCTCCATGTCCTGCTGCCTTGTAGGATACGCTTTTTTAGGCAAAGGCTAGGAGAAGTTAACTCTGAATTAAAACACCCCCTGCCTTGGGGCTCTTGGTTGAGTAAAGGCTAGAGATGGTGTCTCGATAAAAATACTCATCTTGGGCAGATGTTACATGCATCCAGCTGCTGTCTTGTAGAAGGCCTCCTAGGCAAAGACTTAAGGGGTAAACAGATTCTATCTGTTGACCAGCCTCGCACCCCTTCCTCATCTATTAGGCTGGCGCAGATGTATTTTTAATACATTGTTTCCAGTTTAGGATGTTGAACGCTGGATCTTCTTGACTCAATGCGTGGGTATTGCTTGTGTCTCTATTTTTACGACTAGGCAACTCATTCTATTATCTCCTAATGAGGGTACAGCTCTAAAACTCAGTTTTATGGTTCTGAGGCCGGCTGGTAGTCAGGTTTCCCGAACTCTGTGGTAGCTCTCAGAGAGGCTGATTCCATCAACAGCCGAAAAATATCAGAGTACTAACAGTGCCATGTTGCGCATGGATGGTGTCCCTGTTTGTACTTTTGGTGTGCATTGCAGAAGCCACATTTGGAGCCCTTTGTTACGGCTTAGGGTTTATTAATAGTAATGAGGCTATTGCTTAGTTGTTAAATAGTGTACTGAGTACTATCTATACTTGAGTCAAGTTCTTTATAAACTTAAAATGACTAAAGTACCTAAAACTAAAAAACACAAAAAACCATCGTCATCACCAAGTTCTCTAAACCTATCATTTACTAATATTCGTGGTCTTCGAAGTAACTTTTCTTCTGTTGAGTCTTATCTCTTGCAAAGTTCACCAGACCTACTTGCTCTTTGTGAGACTAATTTGAGTTCGGCTGTCCCATCTTGTGATCTTAGTGTTGATGGTTATCTTCCTTTAATTCGTAAAGACTCCAATAATCACATGCTTGGCCTGGGCATCTACATTCGTAAGAACTCACCCATTTGTCGTGAAACTAGGTTTGAATCTACAGACTATTCATTTATGTGCTTTCGTTTAGCACAACTTCACTCTATCGCCTTTCTCTTTGTTCTATATCGCTCTCCTTCATCCCAAGATTGCACTATTCTTGATGTTATTTCTGATCAAATTGACCGAGCCCTCTCTCTTTATCCATCGGCCAATATCGTCGTTGTTGGTGACTTTAATGCCCATCACACCGATTGGCTTGGCTCTAGTGTCAGTGACTCTGCTGGCGTTAAGGCCCTCAACTTTTGGCTTTCTCAATCTCTAACTCAAATAGTCAACTTTCCAACTCATTTTCCAGACAACCCTAATCATTTACCTTCTCTACTCGACTTATGTCTTGTTTTGGATCCTAGACAGTGCTCAATTTCTCCACATTCACCCTTAGGTACTTCTGATCACGGTTTGATCTCTCTAAAACTATTATCAAATTCTTCTACTTCATCAGAATCCCCCTATCATTGTACCACATACAACTACCTTAAAGCTGACTGGGACTCTTTCCGTGATTTTCTTCGTGATGGCCCTTGGGTAGAAATCTTTCGTCTTCCTGCTGACAAATGTGCTTCTTACATAACTTCGTGGATTCAGGCTGGCATGGAATCTTTTATTCCCTCTCGACAATTCCAGGTCAAGCCTCACTCTTCTCCTTGGTTTTCCTCACATTGCGCTGCAGCAATTTCTAATCGAAACCGTTACTTCCATATCTATCAGCAAAACAATTCTCCAGAAAACAGACATCTGTTCACTATCGCCAGAAACCATTGTAAAAAGGTTTTGTCTGACGCCAAAGCTCGCTATTCCCAGGTCATTAAATCTCGTATCTCATCACAAAAATTAGGCTCTCGAGACTTCTGGAGAATCTTTAACAGTATCAATAATAAGGGCAAATCTGTTATTCCTTCTCTCTTGTATGGTTCAGACTTTGTCGCCTCACCTAAAGACAAAGCTGAATTGTTTGCTAAGAACTTTTCATCAATATCATCTCTTGATTCCACTAGTTGCGTTTTACCTGACATAGCCGTCAAACAGGTTGATCCCTTGCTTGACATTCGCATCACTTCAGCTTCTGTATCTAAAGTAATTTCCTGCTTAGACTCTTCAACAGCTT